CGCATTCTTTAAATCGCTAAATACAAATAGTTTTCTAATTAAATTTAGCGATGGAGTAAGTCATGCAGAAAATTTAAATCTTCAGCTTGAAATGGTGACTTGTAAGAGAAATCGGATAATTTGGAGAGCATCTTTACGAAATTAGTTCAATATATGAAGTTATAATGAAATTCTAATTACGATATTTCAAAGCAGGAAAGGTTGAATTAATAAAAATTAACTTCAGATTAATAATGATCCCCTTAAACAGATAAAATGCTTTTACTATCTATAGGCTGAACTACGGATGATTTTGTGCCCTCAAATTTCTTCATTTATTCAGTAGCTGCACTTAAAAAATCTGGGATCAAATTAGATTTTTAAAAAAATACCGCGCTCAGAGTGCCGGTCATTTTGACAGGAACATGTTACAGGAACACAAAAAAATCTGATATAAGGTAATTTTTACAGTAATAATTTCCATAAAACCACTGAATCACTCTCATTCAATAAACATTGCTGTAAAAATTATAGTTTCATATTTTACGGAGAGCCGACCTATAAAAGACAAACAGGTGGCCGAGTGGTTAGCGTGCCTGACTGCGAAGCAGATGGTTGCGGGTTCAAATCCCGCTCAGGGCATGGATGCTTCTTTCTCCCTTTCTGTGTTTTATGTCCTTTCTTCTGTGTGATTGCGTGAATGTAACACGCCCTATAAACGGGTTTGTGGTTGTATGACGTGGGCGACGCTACTCCACCGCCGTGGTTTAGCCATAGGTGCCCACTGGGTAACGATAAGAGAGTAGCAATTCTGGCATTTCGGAGGTCAATAGGAAATAGACCCAAGTGCCCGCTATTAACCACACAAAAAAATTATTTTTCGGAGAAAAGGGTTTTCACGAAAAAATTGGTTTTAAGGATGATACTCTTAAACCGAAATATTTTACAACTTAATTCTGATTTTTGAATAATTTTTGTTTCATTTTATTCATTGAAATACGCTCTATTGAATTTATTTATGGAATTTTAAATTTTAAGGTTATTAGATTTTTAAAGTTTGAACTTTAAACTTTGAAGCAGTTTTAAAAATACTTACTAACATAATAAATATACAAATTATTATACATAAATATTTGAAATTTGGCTGTTGAATTCAAAAGAATATCTTTCAATGAAGAAAATGAAACAAAAATTATTCAAATATAATACTTAGTTACTGAATAAATAAGGAAATTCTCTGTTTATATAATTCTCCCTAGATTAACACGGATAAAGTAATTTTTTGAAGAAGAAGAATAGTAATATTAGAAAATTTGCCATTTTTAAACAAAAGAGCAGAAGAAAATTTCAAATTTCATGAAAATGTACACAAAATCTTTCCAAGCATATTTTCATTTTCTCTTAAAGTAATGTTTTCTTAAAATGCATGGTTAAAATAGAATATTTTAATTCACTAAATTATGAAATAAAAACTAATTTGTCAAATAATCAATTTTCGTACCATTTGCTTGTTAGTAAACAATTCTTTGTAAAGTACCAAAACAATTTCATGATGTAATTTTATATGTATTTTACAGATTATAATTTTAATTTACTAGTTTATATATTAATTGGTGTATTCATTAATTCGTGTATGAAGTACTATATTTATTTTGCATTATAAATAGATGTTTGTTAACTGTTTATATTTTGTTTTTATGAAAATGGAAGTTGTTTAGAAAAGGTAATATTACTTTTCTCAATTATTTTAAATTCCATAACTCCATTGCTTTTCTCTATATTTATTTTTAAAGTTAATAACTGTACTATTTGTGTACCCACCGATCCCCGATAACAAAATTTGGAGTGTCTTTTCAAATAATGGTAGTAGTACATATGTGCTTAAAGTTAAGAAATGCTATTTCAAAGATGTTATTTGAAAAATGATAAAATCCTTACTTAATCCAAACTTAAAATGTTATAGTTTTTGAATTTTTTATTTTCAAAATTGTTTACTGTACCAATTATATCCTCAATCTAGCCAGACCGTAAATTTTACATAAATGCTTAAATCGCCTAAACGAAAAATAGTTGCAGCACTCATATGTTTAAACCAGTGATTCCCAACCTGGGGGTGATAGAGCTTCTCAAGGGGGCGATAATCCTTAGGGGGGGCGATCAGGGGGCGACGAGTATCCAAAAGATAAAAATTGCTAATAATATTAATAACAAAAGCTATTTGAGATTGAAATTGAAAATATATAGGAAACTTATGGTTCTGGTGTAGACAAAGAATTATGATAGTTAAAAATTTAAAAAAATTCAAATGCAGGATCGTTTTCGTCATACGCTTTGGTATCGCAGGCGGAAATCTGATAAATCACTCTGTTCCTCTGAGCAACAATACTGTTTCCAGGCTTATTGATGAGATGGCCGCCGACGTTGAATCAAAACTCATAAAATTTTTGAAAGAAAGTAAATTTGCGTTGCAGACTGATGAATCAACTATGATAGATAACAAAGCTGTTTTAGCTTACGTGAGATTCATAAATGAGAGTAAGGAGATTAACGAGGAAATGTTGTTTACAAGAACTTTGAACACAGATACAAAAGGATCGTCGATTTTTAAATTGGTCAAAGTTTATTTTGAGGAAAAAAGAAATTCCCCTCACAAATGTAAGTGCTTGTGCAACAGATGGTGCTCCAACCATGTCTGGTTGTCATACTGGGTCTCTGGGTCACCTTAAAACAGAAGTACCGGAAGTTATCTCACCATTTATTATGTCATTCATCATCAACTTTTGGATGTGAAAAATTGGTTATTTCTGGCATCAATAAAATAAAAGCTAATTCTCCTAATAACCGTTTGTTCTGAGAACTTTGCCATAAAAATGATGAAGATTTCGAATTCCTGCTCCTACATACAGCTATGAGATGGCTTTCAAAAGGAAACTGAGCCATTTCTTCGAATTGCTGGATTCGGTTACTGAGTTTCTCGACACCACTGATCCTGTATTAAATTTGTTTGAAGCAGCGCAAGTTGGAAACTACGTACCTCACGTATAGTTTTGAAAAAATGAAGGAAATCAACGTAAAACTTCAAGGAAATAAAATGAACATTATCAAGGCTAAAGGAATCATATCTTCATTCATCGCCAAGTTTGATATCTACAAGTTAAACATTGGTCGCAAAGAGCTAATGCAATTTCCAACTCTTAAAAAGTGTTCAATGGCAGATATCGAGATTCTCGAAAATAGAATCTTAATTTTTACTGATCACCTTGATCAGTTATGGAATCAAGATTTAAAGATTTGATGAAATTAGAAATTCCGGATTGAATTTTAGATCCTTTCTCTTTTGAAGTTGTGGATAAGCTCACTTCCTCTTCGTAGACTGAGTTTTTAGATTTGAAGAATGACTGTGAGGCTAAAGTCGTCTTTAAAAAATACGGTTACGAGTTAGCTTGGGTAAAGCCTATTTGATACTTATCCACAATTGTGGAAACAAACTGAGCCGCTTCTCATCTCGTCCCCGTTAACATATTTAGTGGAGAGAGGATTTAGTTCTGTCTTCCAGCTGCTCACAAAGCAAAGAGATAGGTTGGGCATTTGCTTCAAAGAAGACCCGCCTTTAAATCTGACGAGCATAAAACCTGACATTCAAGCTTTAACTTGAAATACACCAAGCACAGGGCAGTCATTGAAGTGGTAAAAATGTACTTTCTCACTCTTCATTTTTTTTCTCAAATTTTAGTTGTTAACGTTTTAACTTTTTCTTGATTACATTAAAATATGAATTTAAAGAAAATGTACTTTTGTTTTGATTATTCCGTTTTAAATATCATTTCTTTTTGAAGAAAAAGAAGATGCACAATTTTTTTTAATTAATAAAAATGACAGGATAAATGTGCATCCTTATTTGCATTACAATTTAAATTAAAATCAAATAACTTAGCATATTTTCAGTGTTTGGTTGCTCACAAGCAACAATGAATGGTTTTTTGAGCAAAAAGAGAAAGGGGCGATATCTGTCAACCAACCCCAAGAGGGGGGCGATGGTCCACAAAAGGTTGGGAACCACTGGTTTAAACCAAGAAATTCTTTTTCAAAGACATGATTTGTAAGATGCTAAATCAGTGGTTACCAACTGGTGGCCAACGGATCGCATCCGGCCCGTGAAGCCTCTGTTTGCGGCCCACGAACCAAAATATATCAGTTGTCATTTTTTGCGGACAATTTTTATATCTTAACAATTTGATATCTGTTGCGCATTAATTCTTTAATACATAGGTGGTGCACATTAGAGTTATTATAGCCAGAATTTTTTAATATGCAATTAAATGTCTTTAACAATCTACTTCTTATTTTAGTTTGTAATTCAATACTTTTGTTTTGTACAACTAGATGAAACTCTGACAGTAATATTTAATGCTCCTTCAAGCATTAAAGAGACCTATATAAAATTTTGATGAAGTTGCGGCCCGCCATTTGACTGGTGCTTTTAATTTCGACCCCAGACCTCATGTAAGTTGGAAACCCCTGTGCTAAATGGATGTTCTCTATTTTGGAAAAAACCTAAAACTTCATAAAATAGTAAATTCTGTAGTTTTGATTTTAATGCTTATTACTGTGCCAATTATGTCATTAATCTTGCCAGATCATAAATTCAAAATGAATGAATTAAAATGAATCAAATATTTGTACCTTTATCTTTTAAATTAAATATTGAAATGTTAAAAGCCTTTTTTGGACAAAAATTACGCGAAACGAAGTGCATTAGATCTTGCAAACTGAGATGATTTATAAAAATATTATTATATCTGTCTTTAGAGTTCTAAGAAATCAAAACGCACTTCCCATAACTGAGTTGATTAAATATATTCACAGTGTACAAAGAAAAAATACTCTTTAGGTGCACATAAATTTCTATGATCAATAAAAATAATTTATTGATCCAAGATTGGAACACTTTATTTCTGAAGCCCTAAAGAAAACGTGCGATTAAGAGGCAGATAAATTAAACTAAACAAACGAAAACTCACCTAACGATAAACATCTCAATTTTGTTTCCACATCTTGCAAGCAATTCGTAGACTTGGCCAAGAGGAAGATCTTGGACATTGACTCGCCCCACTTGAATTATTTCGTCCCCTTCACGGAGGCCACATCTCTCGGCCAGGCTGTCCTCGGCCACCTAAAAAGAACAAAATAATAAATTAATTACATATGATAATGGTAATGATATTTAATACATACAAATAAATGATAGTTAATACAGGTTATTTAAATAACAGGTTTTTTAAGTAATAATTAATACAGGCTATATTTTAAATTAAGAAATCAAACTCACAAACTAACCTCCTCTGAATAAGATAATTTCTGCCTTAAAGCTTTAGAATAGAGATTCTTAAATTAAGAGTAGATACTCCTTTTTTCATCAACTCATGCTCTGAAATTTATGCGAGTAACTTTTATAATCTATTCTTAAGACACACTAATAAAAGGTAATCTATACTTTCGCAGTTGCTGCTCTTAATAAATAATTTAAATAATAAATAAAACAGGCTATATTTTACATTAAGAAATCGAACACACAAACTAACCTCTTCTGAATAAAGATACCTTTTATTTTCTATGAAATTAGATTGTCCCTTAAAATAAGGGAGAGGTATGCATAATCTCGAAAATATGGTTCCAATAGTTTAGGAAAGGAGAATGGACGAAAGTTCAAATCCCTTCATATTAATTTCACAGTTTGAATAACTTTGCATTAAATAAAAAAAAGTCGCCTCATTTCTTAAAAATTCCGATTCCGATTCCGTACAAATTATGATTTGTCACATAAAATTACATAATTTAAAAATTTGAATCAATTTTTAGAAATTTTCATTAATATTAAAATAAATAATGTTAAATAGTCGAAAAAATGTTTTGCTTACATGGAATTATCTATGAAAAAACGAGTTTTATTATCGTGTTATAAAATTAAGCGATTGCAAAGATCTGGTGAAAATAACAGTGACGCCATACTCTCCTGTCTATTGTAACTATTGTGGTCATGCTTTCCAAATTGCAGACTCCCGTGCATTTTGATAGTTAAAAATTCCAATCATAAAAAAATAAAAAAAATATCGTTATTCAGAGAAAGCGAGTTTTTGTAACTGATTTTGTAACTTAAATTTGTATAAATATTCTAGCAAATTGTACGTTAATCCCTCGAATCAATAAGATAAGATAAGAAGAATATGAAAATCCCACCATTTAATCAAAAACGATTAAGGTGTTCATTGTTGTAGTTGTTGTTTGTTTTTTTTTTGCGCACATTAAACCAAATATGAATAATGCTGTGATGTTAGATTTGATGACAAGTCGTCAAGTCAAAACATTGACTACAAGGTAAAGATTTTTTTTAAAAAAAGAGTTACAATTTGAAGTTGAATTTATAAAATAAAAAAAATAACATTAAACTTTGCTAAATTGATTTATATTAAGCAGTTTGATATGAGCAAATAAGGCTTATTGAAATGAGCTGAATGAAAGAAAAGCTCTTTAAAAAGTAGCAAAAATAAATGACATTAAAACTAATTCTGTCTCTCTTTTATTTAAGGAATCGTAGAAGACAAGGCTCATTGCAATAAGCTTAAGTAAATCAGAGCTGAATTATTCCTCGACCATTTTTCAATTAGCCTTAAGGTGTGTGAGATGTTTGCAATTAGCCTCTAAAAAATATCAGGTAGAATTCAAAATACTATAGATTTTTCAAGTTAACCTGATGCTTTTTATTAGTTAATATCCTGTCATTAAACTATATCAGAAAAAACCGTATAGAAAAAAATAACTCTTCTAATTATTTTAAAAAACAATAAAAAAATTGAAAATCAAGTGCCAATTAATTAAAGAACTTAAAAATATTAATAAAACTTTTATTAGATTTGAAGAGTAATAGAAATATTTAACTATAATTTTTGAAAAATTTTAAATACTTCAAACATTAATAGCAAATGATTTTGAAATCAAGTTAAAGTACGAACATTTTTACCAGCACTAAACGAAAAAAAAAATTAAAGCATAATATTTTCCAGTTAGCTAGAAAATATTTTTTTAAAAAAACAATAAAAAATTAAAATTTAAGAATAAATTAATTTAAAATAATAATAACATTTTGTTATTTTTTAAAAAATAATGGGAAACATAAAATTAAATTTTTAAAAAAATTTAAAATGCTTTCAAATTTAATTGCGAAATTCTCAAAATCAAATTTAAAGTGCGAACATTTTTATCCCAACTAAGCCAAGAGGAAAAAAAACTGAAGCTCAATATTTTCAATTATAATAAAAATTTTAAAACACCAGTATTTTTCAATATTAAAATTTTTGAAAATTACTTATATAAGATTCGTGAACCATTTGTTTATACTTCTCTGCATGGCAAAAGTGAATAAAAAAAAATTAAAAACAATATTATCTTTAAAAAAAGATATTTTAAAAATGTGTCTTAAATTCCTATAAATGGGAAAATGTGTTTTTAATAGATTCATGTAGTTGCTATGTTTTAAACTCTCTAAAAAGTCACTTATAACCTTCATCCACTAAGAAGCAATCGAGATCTTATCATAACTTTTAGAAACGGAGCATTCCTGCGAGATTACGATCCAAACATTGAGTTGACACCTTGACATGAATATTATCTCACGCAACATACAATAAAAAAACAAAAGGTGAGGGGGCTGTAAAATTAGAAGTAGGGGAAATCCCTGGATCAACTGTTGCCAGAAAAGAGTTACTAGAAGACACAAAATTAGCTTCGAAAGGACGAGGCAACCACAGAGCTATTAATAGGGGAAGTGAGACATCGGTTGATTCAGACGGCTTGAAGGTAAAAGACACAGTCATCCAGTGAAACTAAATCTGCTGTAAGGTTAAACGCGTTGGAAAATATGTACAGTTTCACACATAAACATCATTTTATAACCTTAACCTATTACGTCCATCACTATCCGTCCATCCCATCCCATCACTATATTCACCATCATTCCATCCATCCTATTACCATTGTTACAAAATGTTGTTTTTCGCAACATTTTGTAAAGCGAAACTTAATGAAAAAAAGGTAGAGAATTGAGGCTTAGACAGATAAGATATTTTTTAGTTTTGGCTAATACATTAATTTTAAAAATATCGTAATCTTGTAAGTTCGGATCAAAATATAGAGGTGTCTCTATGTAACATAAATACGTAATAGAATAAAACAGTTTTTATTGTTGTCGTTGCACTCTTATTAGTCAGAAAATCATATGGAAGAATCCAATTTCCCCATATGAATTTTCAAGATGTCTTTGATTATCATCAGCATAAAGTTGATAAAAGTTATGTAGGTGTTGCTTACCTATAACATATTTCAGTATCTCAAATTTAAAGGTGTTTGTCAGCAATATTTATTTGACTGTTAAAGGGAACTGCAAACGGGGCTATGTGCTTGGTCTTGATGATATTTTACTCTACTATAGAAACTACTCTACTATTGTTTGGACAGTAATTTCGCTTTTTTTATGGAAATGAAAGACGGTTTTTTTTTATAGTGAATAAACATTTTTTGATTGATATAATATCCATTCTGGTCTAATATCTTTTGTCATCCACCCTAAACCTACCAGTGCAATGATTCCACCCTAATAAAATTTTTGTTCCTTGCAGGTAAAAAACTGATCAAAGTGATTTTTTACCCCCTTCGCTTTTAGCCGGTTCATCTTTTTTACTCCATGATCTATATAGCTTGAGATTGTTGTAGAAAACTTATTTTTCGTTCCTAATGTCAATGCGTTTTAAAAATGGATCGTTTTCTTGACGTTTAAGGATTTGCTTCTTAAAAGCAAATCCTAGATGACACATGACAGCACAAATTTCCGCCCGTAAGACCATTAGAAACCCATATACTAAAAAAAAAAATTATTTTATAACCATCGTTAAACATCTGATCCAATTTTGGGTCTACGACTACTAATGTTCAACTCTGTAGTTTTGAACCCAATCCAGAAGACAAGGGAACTCCTGGATCAGTATTGGAAGAAATTTGCCTTCGTGGAGGACTTTTTGATGGAACTAACTCGCATTTGCCTTACATGTAAATGATAAGGTTAAGGGATCTCACTGTTAGCCTGACGACAAGGTGGGCTCTAACCCATGATCCGTCTACCACTGAGGATATTTTACGTCAGCACTGTGGTCGGTGAGAGCCGGATGCGGAATTCGTATCGGCCAGCCATCGTTAGGATTCGAACCCGGTTTACCTCATTAGAAGGAGAGCGCTCTATCCCTTGAGCCATCACGGCTCCTATACTAAGCATTGAGATTAATCCTAAGCGTTTCATGTGAAAATAAGAGGTCGAATTCGAAACATTTAATCTCTCAGTGATCTCGCTAGCTGTTATTCGTCAGTTTGCATCAATTAATACATTTATTGAGTCTTCATCAGCTGCTACTGGCCTTCCAGAATGTTCTAGTACAGCAACATCAAAATCACCGAATCGAAATTTTACAAACAAACGACAATAAAATGATTACGAAGCAAATTGATTTACAAATAGATCATAATAGAGTTAAAAATGCAAAATTCGGATGGACCAAAATAAGAAGAGGAAGTTAATAATTTCTCTCTAGTTTTAATACCAGCAGTTTTGAAATCATTTTGTAGGATTGCAATATTTATATTAGAATGCTTTTTTTAAATTATTGAGGTACTGAAAATCAATAGAAGCTTTTAACTTCCTACGATTTCGGCCAATGCAAATTTTGCATGAGTAAAATGGGCACCATTTCCAAGAGCTTCAAGCATGATCTTTCGAATTGCATTAACAATTTTGCGATATAAAATCTTCTAGACTTTCGATAGCTCTGGAGATAGAACGTTCGCCTCCCAATGAGGTGAACCGGGTTTGAATACCAGTGATTGCTGGTCGACATGAATTCCGCATCCTGCTAGCACCGACCACAGTGCTGACGTAAAATATCCTCAATGGTAGACGGATCATGGGTTAGAGTCCCCTTGCCATCAGGTTAACCGTGAAAGGTTCTCGTGGTTTTCCACTCTATGTAACGCAAATGCAGGTTAATTCCCTCAAAATGTCCTCCACGAAGGCAAATTTCTCCCAATACTTAATACAAGAGTTCCCTTGTCTTCTGGATTGGGTTCAAAATT